ATATAAAGCAGATTCCTGGTTCTTATCCTTCCCCACTTTGATCAAAATTAAAAACTAAAAGCTTCTGAAGAAGAGTACTAAGAACCTAAAATAAGTTGTCGGTTGAGTACACCGTGCCTATTTGTGTTTGACTTAGTTTCTTACATACCTTTAGAGATCTCTCCATTTTCATTTAGACCTCCACAAAGTGAGAGGGTAACATCAGGCAAATCCATAGCAGAATCAGACATACACTCTGTGCCACTATCAGCTGCAGCACTTCCCACTGACTGTGGTGACTGAGAACCAGAGAAAGTATCTGACTCTGTCCACTGCCTGGAACCTGGATCAGAATCACTGAAAGAAAGAGGTTCTATTTGTATAAAATCGTATTATGTACAGGACATGGTACAAACTGTTCTACTACTACTACATACTGTTGTATTTCAAATACTGCATTACACTACAAAGGAAAGATCTATTACACCAGCGTTAGATTTCTTTTTTTTTGGAAAAAGGAAACAGTCTCTTTGTGAAACTACTCTGAAATGCCAGACGCTTGGAAACAATATTCTCTTTAAACTTAGAATTGAAGCATTAATAGGAAATGCTATTTTCTCTGCCATGATAATTTGATATGCAATTTGTGATAGCAACTTAGTTTTACATGATCCAAACCATTTTATTCAAGTAATTCGAAACAACTAAGCTCTAATAAAAATGTACAGGTATTTTGCCCAGTGGCTTCAAAATTAATTGGTGCTTGGACCCAAGGACTGGTAATGAAATGTTAAGGCATATCATTAACTTAAAAAAAATACAACATTGGTAATTCTAATGACCCTTTTCTCCTTCCACTGATATTAAGATAAATTGGAGAAAAAAAATACACTCCACTTATTTTAAAACAAAAGGTCATTCAAAATTAAGAGAATCTAGCCTTAAGATTGGCCAGTAGTCACTGACATTGGCACACACCTGTCTTCATGTCAAATGTTTAAGTCCTCTCTCTGAGTCAAAACTTTATAGCTGTTGAAGCAGATATCAACTGACTAAACTCTTTTTTATAACATTTTCCACTATATTTGTTACTTAATATTTAATGAAGTGCAGAACTCTGTAGTTTACTGCCATACACAGTATACAGCTAAGTACATTAGATATTAAAGACATGTCTGAAAAGATTTATGTTTAAAAAAATGTTTTGGAACGTGCATTGGATGATATTTCAGTAGTGAAAAAAAATAAAATCCCATTTAAATCCTTTAAAAAAAAAAAAAAACTGTTTAACACTAGGTTTGAAATTATACAATTTTCTAGTGTGTTCAAAATCAGTTTCCCATATTTGCACTGACAACCAGAGCTGATGACTCTTTCACTTAAGATACAAAAAGTTGTAGGACAAAACGTAGGGTGTAGTTTTCAGAAGCTGATGTAAAGCTGGGGGAAAATGTTTTTTGCTGTTTTTAGAAATAACTGTAGCTGGATAACAAAGACCCATATGAAATTTGACTATTAAGCTAACATTACTTGGTAGATAATATTTAGATAAAAAAATCTGTTGCATATGTTTTGGTTTGGGGGGGGGGGAAGGAGAAGGTTAGGGAGAGGGGTTTGTTTGTTTGTTTTAAATATGTTGACCCTGTGCAACATAAACCAGTAGAAAATCTGTTTAGACTAATCACTGAATGATGCCAATTTATCATCTGCCATTTGTAGTCAACAAATACCCAGTTTAGAGAAAATAATGCATTTTGGCTAAAGGTATGTAAGTGCATCTGAAGAAAAACGAACCAAAACCATTTCCCTGGGACCAGTTCAGTGGAACTCTAGTCTTGCGTCTTCATTCCATTCTTTCTTCCCCGGATGAAGGAAGAAGCTTCAGAACTTTGCAGGAGAAAGCCCGCATCCTTATTAACTCCCCCCCAAAACCATTTTCCCTGCAGAAAGCCCTTAAGCCAATGTCAGGAGTACCTCAAACTCTACGAAAACAACTTGAGGAAGAACAAAGAGCAAGACTGTGGGCTCCCCTGCAGCTATATGGTTATGATTAAAACCCCAATACATTGGTTGTGCCCAGATCATGCATAGGTTTAGAGCTAACTGCAAAAAAATTGTTAAATTTGAAGTTTGCCAAGAATATTCACTCTTGAGGCTCCATTTTCAGACACTTCTTAGGAAAAACAGGCATTTAAGTACACAAGCTTTCTTGTGCCAGTTCTCCATGCCTATCTGTACTCATGTCAAGAGCTAAGTATGGTAGTGAACTGTTCAAAGCAACTCCAGTCATGGCTCTGAAACCAACAACTGAATTCACTAAGAAAACAATAAAGGTTTGCTTCTCTCCATAATGCAGAATAAATTTAATATTGATTACTAATGTACTATATATTCCCAACTTCAAATGTCAAGTTTGAACAAAAAATGTTTTTATCTTATTTAGTTCTCTCACATCTAAAACTAAGCCTTAATATTTCACAGAATCTGTGCAGCATAAGCCTTGCAACATTAAAGTTTATCTAAAGCTACCTTTTGGGAAAATAGAGTGCAGCAACTTCAGGTTCCAAAGCCTTCAAGTCATCCAAGTAAATATCATCAGGCCCCTGGTGCTGGCTTCTCTTGTGGACGCCTGTCAATTGTAAGAGTTGGTTCATTTTAGGTGAATGTGTATATTAAATGCATTGCTGGTGAAAAAACAGAACAACATGAGCACTGTACAAAAAACCAAACAGGAATTGCTGTAGGTTTGCTGGCCTATAGACCAACACCAGGCTCAGTCTCTCCGACTCAAGGATGCATCAACCTATTTGCTCCTGAAATCAGTGAGCAAAGGGCACATGGAATAGGTGCAACTTATTCTTCAATGGCATTCCTGGTCTCACTTAGGAGGCAACGTAGGCATCCCCTAGGACACGGGTTGTCAACCAGGGGTACACATACCCCCAGGGGTACTTTGAAGGGCCCTCAGGGGTACACGCAGGTGGGTGGGGACAGGCAAGGGTAGTGATGCTCTTCTGCAGGCTGCACAGATTGGTGGGGGGGAGGAGTGGGGGGAGAAGGGAGAGAGAAGCTCGAATGCAGAAGCTGCTGCCACTTCCCATTACCCAGCACTACAGCCACTCTGTATCCAGTCACGCCCCCCACCATGTCCAGCCCTGTGGCTCCCCCCCACCCCTGGTTCTGCATCTGGCCGCAGCCAGGAGTAGTTCCACGTCCAGCTGCCTGGGGGTGCAACGACCAAAAAAGGTTGGAAAACCCTGGTCTAGGATTTTGCTTTTGTTTTAAAATTTTAAACACGGGAAGCGAAAAGGTGCAAGTCTATTCTTTTTTAAGTCACCTCAAATTTCACAGATCCGACGGTAGGCATAAGACACTGTTCTATTATATACCTTTCTTTTTGGAGGGAGATTCAATTTTTGCTGTTGGTTTTGTTTCTGATAACACATCCACTAATGGGTTGGGGGGACGATCAGCATCTAAGGAAGATGAATCCTGAGGTTCTATGATTGCTGAAGCAAGGAAATCTTTACTATCTCTCTGTTGCAATAGAGGATGAGTTCTGGGTTCAGGTTTCAGTACAGTACAGACAGGATCTTTCATCAAATCTTCATCTTCAACTTCATCAGAGCTGAGGATGACTCTAAAATGCGTCTTCTCCGATGGGGTAATAGTGGCTGTTCTAGGTTGTTCCAATTTTTCTTTTTTGCATATCTGAAAATAAAATTCTAGTTAGTACTTTCATCATGTGTTATTCATGTCATTTGGCTCTGAACATTGAACAAGCATTCATGATAATTATCCCAGAGATTATCTGACAAACTAACATAATGAACTTACCTTTTAGCAGCCTGATATGCATCCCTCCAAGTTAGTAAAGTCCCACCAGTGCTAAGTACACAGTACCTTGTTTACTCACTTCATAAGTATAAAAATCTGTTCAGTTTTCTATTCTAAGATCATTCACAATTCAAGTCTTCCTGAAGGCACTTTCAATGCGTTGCTCATCAGAAACTAGCCGATTTGAACCTTCACTAGTTTTATACATATTCGTCTTGTGATAATAAAATATGTTATTCATATATGTTGTTTTTACCAACTACCCCATGCTTTTTAAGTCCTCAGGCCAGGGGAAAAACCATTTTTTTTGTTTGAGAGCACCTAGCACTTTATGTAGGCTACCAGAAATACTGTGGATAAGACAATATTATTTAACATTTAATGCTAAGGAAACCTACCTTCTTTTCACTGATGAGGAAAGTAACAGTAATGGGATGACTAGACTACACAGTGCATTAAAGACAACTCTCTGCTTTCATATTTTTTTTAATACTTGCAATGATAGATCCAGATAGGTTAATTTAATGCTCTCAGGAAATATTAGCAGTAAGCCCTGACTTTTCCTTTGTTGAGGGTAAATCACTGTTTATTAACAGAAAGACTTTCAATTATAAACCAGTTTTCTTGAAAAAAAAATATGTCCATGTTTGGATGTTCATTTATAATCCAAAGTCATTTTTTGATTACCTTCATTTGAGGCGACCCCACTGTGGATCACAGCAGAGTTCTACTGGTGAACATCTACATAAAGCCACCTGTGGATTTAAGACCCAAACTCCATTACCCCTTAAGGGTGCAGGGAATATCCAAACTCAGGAAAGGAACATAAATTCACTTGAGGCTTCTCTCAGGGAGGGCAAGAGGCCCTGCCCAAAGGAAGTTTGATAGGGATGCACTAGGGCAACATCTCTCTCCAGGCATCCTAACAAGAACTAAATCCATTTGAAGTAGTACTTGTTGGCCATTTATTCTGTAATGGTGGACGTTTAGGCACCAAATCCAAATGTCAAGCTACAGTAACAGCTTGTGCCCACTTCACCTGGAATGAACTTATTTTTATCTTTAAAAAGGAAGATGAAAGTACTTGATTGTTACATTTAACCTCAAGTTACACAGTATCATCAGTTTCTAGCAACAAATTTGATAGCTAGATTTTTATTCTAAACTTTCTGGAAGAATTTGCAGTCCACCCTTTGAAATCAACAAAACAATCCTTTTGTTCACCCCAACCACAAGAGGATGCTATGCTCATATTATTTCTATTGTATATTTTGGAACAGCTTGCATTCAATACTTTAATATGGTATAGTTTTAAATATGGCAAAATTCAGTCATATGAAGTCCAAACAGTAAATAAATCTGCAAATAACTTTACCTTGGTAGATTCTGGAAATCCTCCCCACGTCCACTCCATGTGAGATTCAGATCTAAGCAAGCTCTCGGCAGGTTTCACTTCTAGTTCTGAATCACTTTTAGGGCAGACTGGCTCAGAGAAAGTGCTATCGGAACAAAGAGAAAGCTACAGTGTTTAAAATGCATTTGTCGTTCAGCTAGTTCTGTTAAGTTTTGCTTGCTTAACAGAGCTTCAATTATTCAGCATCAGGGCACAGAGCCCAGCTGGGTTTTCAGACTGTGAGAAATTAGGTTAAAACTAAAATCACATTAAGGGGCTTACATACCAATCATCCTAAACAGATTTCTTCATTGGTTTTTAAATGGTCTCTGTGTAATCTCCCTCCCCCCAATTTCCTTTTTAAAACTCATGTTATCTGATATAGCTGAAATTATAAAAATCGATATATTACCCTGTCTGAGGATAAGCTGTTTAAAAATTATTTTACTCACATCAAGGAACAAGATTCAAGCTTGCTAGACCCAAAAGTTTCATCTGCTATTAAATTCCAACAAATTAACTTAAAAGCAATGTGATAACACCAATTCCAATATATGTACAATAACATGCAGCAATATGCTATTATCCCTGCTCAGGGTTGGGGCAGGAATAATATCTCAGAATCTCTCTCATACAATGACCAAGGTAGAGAGGGAAAGTGTGCTTAGGTTTAAGGGCCTTGTTACATAGTACTTCTGGGCAACTTCTGGAGCTCTTAACCCCTAGATTGGCTGCATGTTAACACCTCTAAGTGGCTTAAGGCACTCATTTGTCTTAAAGTTATATCATTCCACAGCAGGATTGTCTCTTATCTGCATAACCTTGCTCTTGCTCCATTAAGGTATGGCCACTCCCCTCAGCTAATTTTGCTCAAGTTGAAGCCTCCCAGTATACTCCAAGGCTGGAGTGCTCACTGTGCCAGGAGACAGCAACAAGTTGGTCTGGGCAGCAGCCCCCTCAGCCTGCTGGACAGAACCAAGCTCTGCAGCGCTGGAGCACCCAGCAACTGCATTGCCTTCCACCCCCACCCACATTGGCTCACTGCTTCCATCGGGCAGAGCAAGTGCCACAGCCTTGGGGCGCCCGATGACTGCAGTACCTTCTCCTGCCACCTGGACCAGCTTGCTGCTCCCATTGATCAGAGCCAGCACTGCAGCCCAGTGGCTGTGGTGCTTCCCGTGTGGTCCCCCACCATAGCCAGCAAACTCCACAAACCACAGGTGCCCCAGCTCTTTCATGTATCAGGTCCTGGCATTACCTGGGGTTGCCAGGGATACTTCAACCACCTTTTACCACCCCCCCCCCCAACTGAAAGGGGCTCAAAGAATTTTTAATCACAGAAAAACACAGGAAACATTATAGGAACATTAAGGGGCACTGCCCCTGTCTAGAGCCATGCATAGCTCCTAGTCCTGCCCCTGCTCACCAAGCCTCTAGTGGCAAGTCAGAGAGCAGGCAAGTGGCTGTGCAGGTGAAGGGCAGTGAGAGATGGGTTTTTTTGCCTTAAGGTGTGACTGCTCCATTAAGCAGGGCAACACTAAGCCAAATAACATGTGTGTGGCTTACAATATAAGGTGTAACAAGGCCCTAAGTTTTCTAATAAGATATGGAGGTCCATTATAATGGGTACTTCTTCCTGCCCACAGGAAGAACCAGACTTATCAGGCCAAGAAAGCAGATATTCCACTTCTCCCTGGAATCCCTTCAACTGAGAACTTCCTTGGCCAAAGCAATTCAATTCTACTTTCCAAAGTTAAAATCTGGACTGTGCTCAAAGGAGCAGAAGATTCCAAGATAATACCCTTTGACCCTGTGGAGCTGGAATAGGAGTTACTGTTCTGAAGCAGAATTTAGTGGTTGGGATTTATCCAAAACTATCTTCTCTTGAAGAATCAGATCACACAAATATTAGAGATTTTTCCTTTTTGATTAGACACAGACATTCACAGTAAAACCCCAGTGAAGGATGTCAAGGTTATTTCACTTGTTTAGTATGGCAGCTAAAATCATGGCTTGGCAACAGCCAGAAGAATAAATTGTATGTTTAATTTATTCTAGGATCCACATGAGTAACATTCACATAATCAAGTATCTATTTTGAAACTGTCTGGATGTTTGATTTCTGCAACAGCAGATGTTTATTAGGATGTCAGAAGGTTCAATTCTAAACTAAATTATCAGACCAAGACCCATAGCCTCTTTAGCCTGAAAAGAACAAGCAGCATTACTGCTGTTATGTTTTTCCTATCTTTCGTATCATCCTCTTTCTTTTAAAAAAAAAAAAAAAATTGTTGCAGAGAATTTGTCCCATTTTCAAAGAGGTCATAAGCCATATCTCACATACGTAAAGATGTTTTAGGTCATTTATTGCTGTTTACAGATGCAGAAAGGCTATTCATTACCTAAACTAGCTTAATATGAGGATATTTCTATAGTTTCCACTACTGCTATGCAAGTTTTAATATACATCTTCTCTGTAATGGACACTGCCCACACAGATGGGAAATCTTGCTATCTAGGATAGGAAAAGCTGTTTTTCTGAAGGAGGGCTGACCATGTTTTTCCTGGCTTATTACTGAAAATCCAATCGGACACCAAGTACCACAATCAAAACATACTTTAACTACGGAAAGAACTTCACTCAGCCACATCAAGAAATTAAGCTATTCCAGTTGGTTGACATACTACTCCATTTTCTTTGGGTACATCTACACGTCACCGTACATTACAGTAGTGATGTGCTAGGGTGACATAGCGATCATGTAAGTCTATACAAGATTGGCAGCTTCTTCGCCATAGTGATATGCTCCCCTGTTTTAGCATGCCACTATGGCAAAATAGCGGCAAAATCTAACTGTGCACACAGCACAGTATGGATAGTTACTGTGCCATGCTTTAGTACTGCCAAAGGAAGTACTAAAGCATGGCACTGTAGCAATGTTGCCATATGGCAACATGAAGATGTGCCCTTTCAGTACCAATTCCCTAGATTTAACTGGACTCGCCCACCCCCAGGTGCCATTGCCCACCCACAGGCAGCCCCGGTGTCAGCTTCCCCATGCTCCCAGCAGTGCACTCTGCTGTAAGCAGCAGACACAAGGACAAGCTGTGTTTTGCAGCCTGGCTCTTCCCCTTTGCTCCTCCCACATATCTCAGGCTGGCAGGAAGAGAAGAGTGGGGCTGAAGAAAGAGCTTCAGCAGCAGGGGCTGCCCTTGCCCCTTGAGGTAGACCAGAAGTGGGTAGGGGGCAGACAGTGGAAAAAGGGCACTGCAGGGCAAGGTCCTGTTCTTCTCCTCCCTCCCCACTCTCCCTTTAGGTGGCACCAGCTAGATAAGTAGTTTTCAACTCTCCCCTCCATATCTTTTCTGAATTTAGATCTAATTTCCATGATTTTCAGCTGGGTTGCCAGAAAAAAATCATAAGTAATGGGAGGGGTGCCTCAAGGCTTAAAGGTTTAAAATCACTGATCTAGAATGAACTTTGTGGGGAGGGGGAAAGCAAGAAGGCATTCCCTTGCTTCCAGCAACTAACAAATCTGGTTTTGACTCCGCACTGCAATCAACCTACACACTATTTTAACATCTGTGGACCTTATCCCAGTGAAAAAAGTAATAACCTAAGTAATACTTGAATGTACATTCCAGTATCATGCTGCATTTCCATGATTTCCTGACTACTACTTTCTTTGGAACTAATATAGTTTCTGAAATTTTTACCCTCCTTTTTGTACACAAAAATGGAACCAAAGGCTCACAATAAAACTTGCCTTTGATTTATAGGCATAGTTAACATTAAAGAAAACTAGAAGTACCTGGAGTCTTGCTCCCCTTGGGTACATCTATATGTGCACTTTAATGTGTAGTAGCCTATTTTATTATGCATTAAACCATCACGTTAAAAAGTGCTATTACAATAATGTGCAGTAAAATAGGCTACTATGCATTAAGTGTCATCTAAAAAGCATGCGTTTATGCTACTGCACTAGGGCAGCCTAATGCACATTTATTTAGTACCTCATATTAGAAGTATTAAATTTAATGCATGTTAGGCAAAGCACATTAATGCATGTGTAGACACTCCCCTTGACTATAAAAACCTTGGAAAGCCTAAAACACATCATTTGCACTCTGAAGTGTTTTGTAAAGCAAAGAGTAACAAAAGAGTAACTGGTCTTCTTCCAAAGACCAGTTGAACTTGCTCCTTCCTAAACAACTAAAGTACCGTGTCTCAACCCATGGGTCATGACCCAAAAGTGAGTTGTAAGAATATTTCAAAGGGTCATGAGCAAGTGCCAGAAAAATGCGCGGAAGTACAGGTTTCCCTTTGCAGGCTAGCAGTGTTTTAGCCTGCAAGTGGCTGCTTGGGGCATGGCCAGAACGCAGCCAAGCTGAGTCATGGGAACAGTGCCAGCAACTGGATGAAGGTAAGTGTATGGGGAGTGGTGGTTGGGGGGACAGGGCATACACGTGTGTGAAGAGGGGCCAAGTGCCTGCTGGCACTGGGGGAAGGTGGTTGGGTGCAGAAGCTGCAGCAGGGAGTGGGGTGTGGGTCAGAACAAGCTATCAATCTTTGCAAATGGGTCCCAGTACAAAAAAAGGTTGAGCACCGCTGAACTAAAGGATCCTTCAGTTACAAAATAGCATGAGGTACTCTAGTCATGGGACAAGAGAGCATTAGGGGAAAAAAGCTAGCCCTTATTAATTTTGGAACTGAACTGGAACCGAAAGTTTATTCCACTTCCAAACTTTTGCCATGATTTTTTACACTGTTTTGACCAAGTAACTTAGGTAAGCAAAACTGATCGTCTACTGGGTTGACATTTTTGGTGCCAATGAATTTAAAAAAAAAAAAAGAGTTTTTGTTCATTTAGAACAAAATTAACTTGTAAGCACAGACTGAACAGCTGTCAGGTCCCTGACAAATTGAAGACCTTGCATTAGGTGATGGAGGAAATGCATTAGTTTTATCAAGGTGGAGTAAAAAAGCCATATAGAAAATATACATTACATACAACCTACTTCTCCAAAGGGGCCCATTCACCATCAGACAGAGGGTAAAGATCCTTGGAGTGATAAATCAAAGACTCCTTCTGCTCTTCATTCTTCGGTGAAGAATTTGAAGATCCTCTGTGGAGATAAATGGGATTTTTTTTAAGTCATTTATAAATGACAGATCTTCATTAGTAACTCACCTAGAAGAACTGAGACTATAAGCAGAGACAGACCATCCTTTCCTTATTTCTACCAAAGATTTTAAATATGCTTTAAATACATACATTTTATAAATGATTTTTTAAATTAACTATTTTGTAAGTCAAAAAAATAGTGTGCATGCACAAATGTGAGTGCACACATGTGTGTGTGCATGGATGCCTTCATAATATTTCAATTATTGGCATATTAACTAGTCTTAAAGAAAATTATTAGCTGACCATAACAATAGGACATCCAAATATGGACATAAAAATAAACAAAAATGCAATGCACTTTAGTGCAAAAATATATAGAATCCATTACACCCATTATACCATTTATGGCTTAGCATATACCAGCCCCAATAACTCTCCTGACCCTTAGTAGTATTTTAGATGAGAGGGGCACTACTGAAGACATAAACACAGAACACTATGCCATATTAAGGAGAGTTGTTAGCTTTGTGACAGGTTACAAGAATAACTGTAAGTGGAATTCCTGAAGAACAGAAAAAGTTATTTTCTGTTTTACAAGAACAAAAATTGATAAGATGTCCTATGATGGTACTTGCTGCTGTAATGTTGATCTTCCTATTAGAAAGGTTAGCCTGCTGCTTCTGGTCCTATTTTATTTCTATTAAACAGGGGCTTTTGCTTTCCTGTTATTAAATTTTTGTAATTTTGATATAGCAATGTAAGTTCCAAAGGGCCTGAGGAATTTGTGACTGTTAATAGGATGCCTGCCAATATGCCAGTATTGCTGTTGGGTAGTGTTCATATCCCTTGCTACATGTGAAGCTTTTCAACTTATTTCTTCAGAACTAAAGTGCACAATGATCTACTGACCAACAGAAAATCCATTATATGTTGCTACAGTATGGTGTTTTAATCCCTATTTTGTTAGAGTGGTTGGGCAGACATATGTAAAGATCTGCAGTTACAGATCTTATCATCAAAATTATCAATATTTTTTGGATTTAATTCCTTAAATGGAATTTCTCCATCTGGTATTATATATGTGCTCAGTTATGCTATCAGTGAAGATGAAATATGCATATGTTCAGAAGGCAACCACTGAAATATAATGCATTTGTAGCAACACTCAGTTTTATATGGAAATGAATGCATTTTTAGTAGGCAATTACCAGAACATTCTGACTTTCTAAGAGATTACTTAAATATTACCTTTTGCCTCTACCGATTTTTCTAATTAATATAACAAAGCATTTCAGAAACCCTGAAGCTTCCTGTAGCTTTGACTAAGACGCATGCTTTAGTTCAAGCTACAATCTTTAGCCACCCTCCAATCAGAGTTACTTGATATGCCTTCTGAATTATCATCACTTGCTCCCAAGAACAACTGCCTGGAGACATGCAAGAGTCGTTTTCCTGAAAGAAACAGGATGAGGTTCCTAAAATTTTAGTGTACATTGTTATAATGCATTAAACAGAGATTCAAATATTCTCCATTTTCCTTTAACGGAAATGATTGATTTCTGAATTTGTGACGGATGAATATTTTCTTTCTTCTTATAACTAAGACAGTAGCAATCTGTCAACAGTTAATGTCCTGGGGTTCTCCATTCTGAGGACTGGATATATTACAGTTATTTCTCAAAGATATTTCTTAAAAGATCACTTTTCTGTGTAAATGGATTCTGTCTGAAATGTAATAGTGAATACTACCATATCATCAACAGTATTACAGTGGCAAGTTGTATGATGAGGTCCATTTCTAAAGATATCAACTTCCTAAAAATTAAAATATTGATCTTAATAATTTAAAAATGCAGAGCTTCAGTTCTCAAAAAGGGTATAACAAACTGCTAAGTATTATTTAATGTTTTTTCACTGTGCTCACCTTGGTGACTGCCATTTCAGATTTCCATATTGTTAAAATCTGAGATCCTTTACACAGAGACCCATATCAAAGAACAGATAATTCTATTCAGCAACCCTACTTTATTTTCTGGCCAGTTGAACTGACAAACACTTCCTCATCCTATGAAAAACCTTTTCTTGGCCAGGTGTTATCATTCTTTCAAATCCCAAAGCTAGTCTAAAATAAATTCAGTATTTGACCACATTTAACAACTTTGTTGTGCAATAACAAATTAGCTACAGTCAGGGGAAAATATATGCTGCTGCTGAGCCTAAAGCATTGGTTCTCAACCTTTTTAGACTTGAAGCACTCCTTGAGAAACTCAACACACGCCTCAGAAAATACCACTTCCTAGGTCTCACTTGTTTTTAGCTACAGAAAAACAATAGAGTGATTCTTCCATTGCAAAGAACTCAGAAAAACCACAACAGATCAGAATGTTTTTTAACATTATGTATTCCTATTTGAAATCTATGGGTTTAGCTTGTAAATCATGTTTGTGGCACCCCATGGCACCCCTGAAAGGATCTCAAGGCACACTGTGCACAGCACCTTGGCTGAGAATCACTGGTCTAAAGAAACTGCAACTGGTTAACATTAGACCCATAATGCAAAGGATAAAAGAGAAATAGTCAATCTTGTCTGCTTGGACTGGAAGCAATAATGCAGCTATGTTTTGACATCTCTATTATAAAAACAACGTATGCATTGTTCTTCATTTATTCTGAGTTAATCCCATTTATGGCATAAACACTGGTTTTAAACTGGCTACTTTCACCTTTTAAGGAACAAAATATCAACCATCTTTTACTGTGTGCCCTATAAAACAACACGTTTATGGTATTTTATATAAACAGGTTTTTTATTGCACTCTCTGCCTAGGCAAAATAGTCCTACCACACACATGACTTACCACCATGAAATGAGAAAACTAAGACTTTGCATTTGCTCTTGGATTTTAAACAGCCAAAGTCTGAAAAATGCTGAAGACCTATGGAAACTACAGTTATGATAACAAATTATCTCTCTTTCAAGAAAGGGCTGGAGGTATATCTATACTGCCCCAGTACAATGGCATACAGTACCTACTCTGTAGGCACTGCCTTCTGAACTGGCAGTCATGTAATTGCTCTAGTGCAGTTTGGAAGGACAAATGGTGTGGGTGTAGCATGGCTCCTCTCAGCACAGTGTATCCTGCAACCATTTTAGGGTGGTACAGATATGCTGTTACAGTTCCACAAATTGTAGAAGCCTATTCCAATAGCTTACCTTAGAGGCTGAATACCTTTCTCATCATCTGAGCTTATTTCCATTTCAAAGATCTCCTCAGTCCCAGCAGATGATATTTGATCTTCTTTCTTACTGTCTTGTTTGTATTTCTTTCTTCTGCGCTTTTTCTTCTTCACAGACCCTGGGGTGAACACAGTCTCCATTTCTATTGTGTGTGGAACTTCAGATAGCTGACATGTCCTTTCATTTTCACCAGATTTCAAATGATCACCAGTCTCTTTAAAGAACTGATCTTCAGTGGTTATTGGGGAGGTTGCCAGATAGGCAGGAACTTTTTCCTAACCAAAAAAGGGGGGAGTAAGAATTGACATTTGTTATGTACATACAACTAGAATAACTGTTGCTTATAAGTAACTGTCCTCATTCACCGTTAGACATGAGACTGTAGTAGCTCAATACTGAGAAAGGTTGATAGTCAAAAGAAAAACATTCACTGAAGAGAAAAAAAATTTGGAAAATGGCCCAGGTGGACAAGACCAAGGCGGAAAATCTTTCATTATATGGTGCCCAAGTTGATCGTGATTCTACACCAGGTAAGAAGTTTTCCTTGTATATTATGGATCTACTTGAGACTTGGGGACTGCCCACCTTATTGTTCACATTGATTCAACCAGTTTTGGTGGATGTTTTCATGAATTAGAAATTACTGAATCAAAGCTGGGAAGGGTTGTGCTGTAAAGCAAATTGAGTTTATAACATGGCTTCTTCATTAAGCATAAAAGTCCATATCCCACAGCCTTTTTGTATCACCACTTCCAAGTGAGACATTCACAGAACTTTAGAAAAACTGTAATGCATTACATGTTATAATTAAAATATGAGGTTGCATTAATCAATACAAGAGAAAGCCAAAAAACCTACATAGAAATTATATTTTCAAAATGGTGTCTGGATAACATTGGTGTGTAGAATAAGAAATTATGTTCTAAAAAATGATAATAAAATAAAAATAAAAAGGGGGCGGGGCATGATGCAGGTAATTACTGATGTGGGGGGGTTGGGGGACTGAGGTCAATCCAGAAAGCTCAAAAACATTTTACTATTTCCTTATTCATAAAGAAAGTACACACAGAATTAAAATGACTTGACCAGCAACCAGGAATATAAATAGAATAGTATTTCAGTAAAATCTTCCAGTGTTTTAGGGATTCCACTGAACAGTATGTTTTGCCAAATTTAAAAAAAAAAAAAAAGCAAAGCTAAGTTTTCACCTTTCAGTGATAGCAAGTTTATTTTCAGCTAGTTACTAGAGAAGGTTCCTATAACCAGATAATTTTAAACATCCAGACATTCTAGATAAGGGCAAAAAGCTATCAGTTCCAACAGAGCATCTCTCAAGAATGTACTTTTCAGTATGTATAGAACAATAATCCAAATGAAGTAATGTTTCTATGAAAACGTATTTTTCTAGATTAGTGTTTCTCAACCAGTGGGTCGCAAGAATATATGAAAGGGTCATGAACAAGCTTTAAAAATGGATCAAATTTTAAAAATGGATTCTCCTTTAAAGGAGAAAAAGGTGGAAAACTCTGGCTTTTCCCTTGCAGGCTGGCAGAGTTCCAGCTTGTGAAGGGCTGCTTAGTGTCCACCCTGCCCCACACACTGGTGGGGCTGGGAAGTGGGGCAGTGGTTCCAGAGCAAGGGGCACTGGGTCAGAACTGGCCAATGTTTACAAATGGGTCCTGGTACAAAAAAGGGTTGAGACCGACTCTTCTAGACTATACTAGAAGTAAAAAATGCCCCCAAAATCTGCTTCTTTACAGAGATGTCTCC